TATTTATTCAAGTTGTATGGCCTTGCAAATTTCACTCGCACCAACCAAAAAGTCCGGTGCCTGGTACTATTCAACGAAGGAAAAGATATACAAGACATAGCTGGAATCATTGGAGTCCAAAAGGCCACAGCCGAAGTATATCTGGTTGACGCGCTAGCCGTTGGGGCATCAATAGATCACCACAGGCTTGCAGAACAACTGGAAGTCACTACTACAGATTTTACAAGAATAGAGCAATTGATCAAGCCAAACGTCACTTTAAGAGAGGTCCGCGATGAACTGAACACAGATTTGAGCTACAACCAAATTCGCTACGTTGTAGCCTCAAAAATTCATGATTACGTAGTATAATTACTATATCAAAAAATACCAATTCTTTGTTTCTGTTCATGGAAACATTTTTTTGTATTGAATGGGAAAAAAAGAAATGAAAATGCGCTGCACAATGGTCAAAAATTGCATTCTTGTGAATATTACCTTTTCGCTCGATTTTCGTAAGTACAATAACCTTTAGTTTTGTATCTCTTCATTGCTTTATGCTGTGATCATATACAGAGTTTTTCAAAAAATCTTCAATCCAATATAACGGCAATATAACTTGCGCTTTTCACTTCATAGTGGGATTTTWGCCACTTTGTCGAAATTACCCACAATGCAACATTATACATATTTGCAGTATAGACCTGTCAAATGTTTTTGTAATTACATACAATCAAGTGTGATAAATAAATAGAATATTTGTATATTTCTCATATAGTGTTTATTTCAATGTTCTTGCAATTATCTCATTTAGATATCATTGTTCAGATACAATGAAGTGCTAAGTTTTTGCTGGTTAGATGTCTAACCTGTGATACTAATCTGTAAAATTGCAGCCTTAATTGTAAAATAGTCTAGCTTAGTACTTAGCACTTCATAGAATCTAATATTACTTTGATTGTTTCTATGGTTGAGTTGAACAACTCTAAACAAGTGAAACAAAATTCACCAAAAGAAAACAATGCTTTAGGAACATACTGTGCTATCCCTTCTTCAATCTGGTAGGAAGTGAAGAAAAACATGAACTAATATTGCATTGTATCTTTCAGTTAAATCTTGTTTTTTCGCCGGTTGATACCAGCTATCCTTATGGGTAGCTGATCAGTTTTACCAGGATAAATAAAGTTGTTTTCACTGTTTTCTATATAACTTCTACGTACATTCTGCATTGCATTACTCGTTCAAATTATTCTAATATACTGTGTAAGAAAAAATACCATGACATAGTACTAATTTTTGCACTATTTAGCCTTGTTTTGCATGAAATATAAATAACTGTTAAATGGAATAATCTTTGTTGGAGAAATATCTGCACAAATGCGATTTGCTTGGTTATATAAACAAACAAGGTTAAACAGCTGCTAGGTCTTACAAAACAATAATAATTTTTGTTGTACATGTATTAGACCTGCCTATAAATAGCAGGAGTTACTGATGTTGTTTTCAATGTTGACTTCCATGTTTGATGCATCATTCTTGGCAACCATGGCGCCATATGGCCTACATCATTTGGTTGTGCATATGATATCAAAGCTCCATACTGTTTATGATGATGTGAATCTATCAGCATGGCTGATCCATCAGTGTTCACAATGAACAGGAATGCACATTCATCACTAATGACAACACTGCAATTGGGTCTCTGTGTTTCTGTTAAACCTTCGAAAACTGTCGATAGTTGACCAGTAGCATTATGACCAAACACATCTAACTGTGGCATTAACTTTTCCACATGACACTTGCTCCCTGCAATTTGTTCAGCTTCATCAACGCTTACATTTACAGGATCATGCTCAAAGATGTCATCATGTATTTCATTACCAGAAATAATAACTTTTCTAAGGCACACTTGCCAACCATTGTCCGGGTCAGTTCCATTTGTTGGTGGTTGGAGATTAGCTTGATGAAACAAATGCCCACAACACAAGGCAATGAATGTGCAAGCATTACTGCCACTCCTACCCAAGATTGTTGACTGACTAAGGTCACTAGACATGTGCCATTCCATAATTTCAGGAGTGTGTGGACTTCTTTGTGCAGTTAGCATGGCAGTAGACCTTCTTGAACGCCTGGCTGTAGAGACACAG